AAGGAGGAACTTTGGGCCCAACTCTGGTCCTCAGGGCATGTGCAGAATGTGTCTTCTCTTGGCTTTGTCTCCTAAGAGATTGAAATCCCCATTTAAAAAAAGCACCAAACCTATTTATTTGCTCAACTCTCAGAGCTTGCCAAAAAGTTTCTTTTTGAAGGAGACTACAAGTCCCAGAATCCCCATGGACACCCCATCTACCCAGATCTGCAATTGGCCCATTACAGTTGGGAGGTTCTAAGAATTGTCTTTGCCTCCCCAGAATTTGGATCATCCGAACATATGCAGAGTGCTTTTCTCTCCTCCCTAGGCTCCACTCTCTCTTCCCAAGGAAAATCAGCTTGAAGTTCCTTTATTTTACTATATTTAGTGGTTTAGTTTTAGTTGACAGCTCCCAGCATCCTCTCAAAACAGCATGGCTATTGAGGAATTCTGGGAGTTGTCATACAACATACACATGACGTAGAGAGATCTTGTGGCACCATTGAGACTCACTGAAAGAAAGAAGTTGGCAGCAGGAGCTTTCGTAGGCTAATGCATCTGAGGAAGTAGACTTACGTCTACAAAAGCTCACGGTGCCAACTTCTTTCTTTCAGTGAGTCTCAAAGGTGCCACAAGATCTCTCTACGTCATGTGTATGTTGTTTGTCCTCAGGTCGTTTCTCGCATGGTGACCCTATTAAAGGGTTTTCTTGGCACATTTCTTCTGAGCAGGTTTGCCTCTGCCGTCCTCTGAGGCTGAGAGCGTGTGACTTTGCCATAGGTCACCCAGGTTTGTTTGTTTGTTTTTTAATGCTCAAGCGGGGATTCGAACCCTGATCTCCAGAGTGGTAGTCCAACGTTCAAACCACTTCGCCACGCTGCATAAAGGCAGCAAAAAAACCCAGCATTTCTAACAAAGGGGTTTGCAACCTTGCAAAGGACGGAGACATCCTGGATCTCAAAGGAAAGTACCTTTTTGTGTTGCTAGTGGAATTTAAATGTTATTTCCTGGACTTTAAAATGCTTTGTCTCCCATCCCTCCATATAGCCTTTTGGCTGAAGAGCGGGGTATAAATACTCCAAATCATCATCATCATCATACCATCTTGCCAACATGGTGTAGTGGTTTGAGCATTGGACTATGACTTTAGAGATCAGGTTTTGTAAACCCACTGGGTGATCTTGGCCAAGTCACACTCTCTCAGCCTCAGGAGGAGGCACTGGCCAAAAAACAACAACCCTCTGAACAAATCTTGCCAAGAAAACCCCACAATCTTAGGGTTACCATAAATTGGACATGACTTGAAGGAACACAACGACGACAATGCCATCTTTAACTCAGAACCGCACCGATAACATCTTGACATAACGCAGGCCTGTGCATAACATTGTCAACACACACACACACACACACACACACAATTTGTCCTGTAGGATTTTTAACACCTTTCCCTGATGAAGGAGCCAGTGGAGCTGTGAAAGCTTGCAACCTGTATTTTGTGCATTTGGGTTGCCAATAAAGGTACTGTATCCCTGTTTTGTGGATTTGGGACGTTAGTGTACTTTGCTATAGGGCCAACACGGCCGTTTCCAGCATTTCCAAACCGAAGGGGATTGCAGTGTTGCAATATGTTTGTTCGAAAGAGAAACCTGTAATTCTGGATTTTGTGTCGCCGGACCAAAGAGAGGAGCTTAACCGAGGCTGGAGTTCAGACCAAGAATTTCTTATTTGTAATGCTACGGCTTGCCTGTTTCTTCCATCCAGCGCCTGCGTTTGTCACTAAAAATACACAAATGTTGGGTAGACCCTAAAGGTCAAAGGATCCCTGGCTCTGAGCTTTTCAAAAATCAGCATTTTCCTCCTTCATTTATGGGATTATTTTATATTCTGCTCAATATCTGAGGCTCCCGGAACAGTGTAGAGTAAGGTCACTTTGGAAGCGCTTGAGCATCAGAAGACTCATTTGAAAAGACTGAAACTTGTACGGAACCATTTCACACTTCAAACCAGACCACTGAAAACTCAGTTAAAGGGATTTAAAATATCAAAATAAAATATGAAGCCTTTGCAAATTGGGAAATCTTTTAAGAAAAAAAACCCCCAAACCCAGATTTGGACTTGGTGCTGGAATGACACCGGGGTCGGGATCCATTTGAGACTGGGTTTTCGGGAATTGCTGTTGTTGCTTTGTGCCTTCAAGTCCTTTCTGACTTATGGTGACTTATGGCGACCCTGGCTATCATGGGGTTTTCTGGGGCCGAGAGTGTGTGACTCGCCCACGCTACTGAAATCTTTGATAAGTAGTCCGGAGGAGTTTTTGAAGGTGTTCTGTACATGTTTGCGTGCGTATTGTGTGCCTTCCAGTTGTTTCCGACTCGAGGTGACCCTAAGCAGGCAACCCTATCCGGGATTTTTCTTGGCAAGAATTGTTCCAAGGAGGTTTTCCCATGGCCATCCTCTGAGGCTGAGAGAGTGCGACTTTCTCAGGGTCACCCTTTGGGTTTTCATGGCCGCATGTGGACTCCAGCCCTGGTCTCCAGTGTCATAGTCCAACACTCAAACCACTACTCTGCCATGCTGGCTCCATTGCTTTTGACTCTATTATGAGTCTATGTGGTTTTGGATGCAGGTCAGGGAGCTTCTAATGAGAGACAAGGATTGATTGATTAATTAATTCATCCATTGGTTATTGCTAACTGCATTTCCTCAGCTGTATTCCCCAAACGTATTTTATATGTTTTCTCTCTGCTCTCCTTTTCAGCTCCTTTGGTTTTCTCTCCCACTATTGAATTGCAGAGTAGAAGGACCTTGGGGCAAGGAAATGTTTGTTTTTGGCTTATGTAACTCTGTAAAATGCCATGTCCATCAGTGTGACTCAGTACAGTCCTACAGTCTCTGTGCTTCAGATCTCCTAAGGGGCAGTGGATATTTTAGATTTTTTCCCTCTAAGGGTGGAAAGGGACCTTGGAAAAGGGAGATCTGACCTTGGCACTCACCTCTCCATAACCTTAAGGAAACTTCGGCAGCCCTTCACTCCATCATTCCCTTCAACTCCTCGACCACACTGCAGAATTAAAGCTGTTTGTATACCACATTGCCTGCCATGGCTCCATCTAGTAGGATCCTGGGAGTTCTAGTTTGCGGAGGTATGCAGCCTGGTTTGTCAGGGAGCTCCGGTGCCTTGTGTGCATGTTGTGCGCCTTCGAGTCATTTCCGTTTTATGGCAACCCTATCATGGACTTTTCTTGGCAAGATTTGTTCAGAGGAGGTTTGCCGTGGCCTTCCCCCTGAGGCTGAGAGAGCGTGACTTGTCAAAAGTCACTCAACTACAAGGTTGACATTGCTTTACTGCCATGGCTCAATGCTATGGAATTCTGGAGACTGTAGTTTGTTGCGGCACCAGAGCTCTCTGACACAGAAGGCTAAATGTCTCACAAAACTACAATTCCTAGAATTCCATAGCATTGAGCCATGGCAGTTAAAGCAGTGTCAACTTGTATTATTTCTCCAGTGCGGATGCAGCCTGAGATCTCTTCATAGGCTGTCAGGACTGGATCTGTACATCCCTGACTTCTTTCTGAAAGGGTCCCTGGCATCTCCCCTTGAAAGGATCCCTTCCTGACCTAGACATACAAAGGGTCTGACTTCGTATACAGAGACTTTATAATAAATAGGGTGGCCCTTACCTCGACTTTCAGTGCCGCGCATCCATTCAGAAAGGCCTTGATGTTGCCAATGCAGTCGGCTTCCGTCTTGGGCTCCGGGCAATACTACGAGAAATCAAAAGCCGGTAAGAAACATGAGCTTCCTGACAGTTCCCATCAGAATGGCTTGTTTTGTTCTCAGCGAGAGCCAGGCTGGATATATTAGACCGTGTGTTGGTAATGCTGAATGAGACAGCTTGGAGATGGGTAGGGTTTCATAGGATGGCTGGTGGGTGGAAGGAAGGAAGGAAGGAAGGAGGCAAGCTGTCATGGCAGGGAGAAGGAAAGTGCAGTAGTCTAACACTAGATCTTTTTAAAATATATATATAATTATTTGTTTTAACTGTATATAATTTCTATGATTTCAGCTGTTTGCTTGCTTTTCCCATTTTGAAATGGTCTGGAGACTG